CACCTGCACAAATCCACAATCTGGAAAACTCAGATCTCACGTAATCGAATCTGTCGTGTATGAACAGCTAGTGAATGATTTATAGGAGATTTCGACCTCTCGAAAAATTTATAAGAAAATTATCAGCACCGCCTCAGGATCACTGGATTCGTGTTCCGGGCTCCAGTGACTGGTTTTTGTAGTGTTTCACAAAAGCCTTTGGGGTGGGTGAGTTTGTGGCTTGGTTATGGGGAAGACGGAGAGTCTCAGGTAGCGTCCAATTGGAAAAGGATAGGACATAGTCATAGTACGTACACAGGTATGTTGTGACAACTGTAATCGGCTACACCTGACACGTGAACCACGTGGTATAATATTCGCCAACTTCCCTGCGGAGTTTCTGTACGGTTTTTCGTGCGATTATTTCCTTAAACAGCGTTAACCAGTTGATCTTTGTAATGGTGAAGTGTAGTGTTTTCTTCGCGGTACGGACTGAATCAATAAATATTATTTAGACTAACGTCGCTCTTCAGACGCCGACGAATTTTCGTGCGCTGTGTGAATTGTCGCTGAATTAAAATTACGACTTTTTACCGGACTGAGAGTCCTTTGCTTTCCATAACGTTAGCCTCGAAATATGTTCTGAGTCTGTGACCGACAGCAGCAGAAGACTGCGTCAGGGTTGAACCACGTGTCTTGTTTCTTGGAGAAATTTCCCCTGTTACGTCAATAAGGCGGGAAATTTGATCTTCCCCGTGCCGATCAAATTGCGTTGCCACATGTCGAAATGGAGACTTTTCCGCGATTTCCGAAGCGCCCTCGCTGTGCCGGGGCGCGAGTACACATGGCGAATGCAATTGTCGGAACGCGTATGAAGCGAAATCAATCGGAAAATAAATGGTCCTCGGCTGCATCAGACAAGAGGATCAAATAGCAGTGGTGGTGTGTGGCGGGTAGCGTCATCGGGCTTCGATATGGGGGCGTCGGGGGGGAGGGGGGAGGGGGAGAACATTAAATACGAAGCGGCGAGGGCTTTTCACTCAGCATCAGTTTGATGGACGAGAATCAATAATTCAGTACGGTATTAGAGTCGCTTGGGAGTTCTGCCGTATATAAAGAATATTTAGCGAGGGTTGCTGCAGCGTCCTGTACCTTCACGGCAGTCCCATCCTCGCTGAGGAGCCCCAACTGAAGAGTGCCTGGGATTTTCCTTGCTTGCCTCCTCCCTCAACTCGCTGATAGCGCTGCCTGTCGACATGGCCCCTGGGAAACCCCCCTGGGAGGTAGGCAGCACGTTCGACCTAGCAGAGCAACACGAAACCTAACACGCAGGCTCAACTGTCAGAAGGGAATAAGCGCAGCGACGGCCCTGTTTATTAAAAACACGTCCCTTGCCGGATGGGTCCGTGGAATATTAAACTGAGAAGGGGCCCAGTAACCGGAAAATGAATTTGGCTGTAATTACGGGAGTTCGCTGAATACACGAGGCTTACGTACATTAATCTGTGATTCTGGTTGTGACGAACGTCGTGTTGCACGCCTTTTTCCATCTTTGGAAAGCAAGGCATTTCATTTTTAAAAAACAACACATTTTCATTTACAGTAATAGAAAAAAATATTCGTATAATGACGAAGACATAAACTTCCTGGTCCTTCGTCGGGTGTGAGGTTATGTTTCACCTGTATCAAATTGGGGCACGTGGACTGGCGTTTAAATGACATTTTTAAAGACCAAGGACTCGTGTTCCGTACATTATATGAGACTTAACAAAGCAGAATAAACATTACTTAGTTTAGCTCGCAGGGCAAGACATGAACAAATTCCTGTCGTCACATTGCCAGCCCTGTAGGGGGAGCCCACCGGTTTATTTTTCACTTGAACCGAAGTTAGCATCAATAAGCTGTACTCGGCCACGACATCCCCAGGGCTCTTACAACGCTAAGGGCGAGGCCACTCGTTCTGACAAAAAGTAAAACTGCTCGAGGCTGCTGTTACAATTCTTGTAACCTGGTTTTATTCAACACACCTAAGACAAACTTGCAGTGTCGACCGGAACGGTTTACCAGAAGAGATACTGTCGATTTTTTGGGAACAGGAGAATCGCGAAACTCGTCCCACCGACGACTTAATCAAAGAAGGACGAAATGAAAGCCTGGCTATTGGAAAGAAACATCCCATTTTGTAACAACGTGTTGAAAGCTCAACTGTACGATTTAACCAAATTAAAGAAATCGAAGCACAAATATTATGATATTGATCATATTTTAGCAGACAAAGAACGTCCTGTGCTGAGACTTCCGCCGTACAATCCCGATTTAAACCCCACTGAACTTATTTGGGCAGATTTAAAACAATGGGTTACAAGGAAGGACACAACATCTAAAATCAAGGACGTCGAGTGTTTGTGTATCCAGAGATTCGAAGAAATTGGGCAAGAGGAATGCTGTACACAGCATGGCGTGACCTGCATGGGCTCTTGTGTAGTCACAGCGATTGGCGCCGTGTACATTCGTCGTCAGATGCCGACGTTTCGGAGACATGTGATATCTCCTTCTTCAGGGCTGAAGACGGATACAGTCACTGTCGGTCGCAGGACCGTTTTGGTACCCCCAGGGGCCACAGGCGATCACATTGATAGCAGAACTGCAGGAACAGAGCTCCAAGACGGTCTGGCCACGCAAACGAGTTCCTCCAAGAAATGAACTGGGATCTGCTACAAGCGATGCGCGCTCTCGTGAAGCATCTGATAACTCATTTTGCTCTTGTTTGCGAAGGTTTACAGACGTGAGACATACACGAGCAACAGTCAACACGTCATACGAAGGGGTGAAAATTCGCCTACAAATTTTATAATTTGGGTGATAAAATGTCGTTGTGAGGGTGGCTTTCTTCTGGGTTGTTTGCCGTGAGGAGATGAATGTGTTTACTGGAGTAAATTGTGTCAGACCGCGCGGTCCAGAGACGTGCTCTTGGGTACAAGGCAATGCATACCACTATCAGCTTTTCTCAAGAAAGTCTCTGCAGCAGATTCATTGCTACAGACGGTCCACTTTGTATTATCACAGATCTTGCGACGAAAAAGTGCATTGGACTTTAAACACCTGTTTCAGCGAGCGGTGTAATGTAACGATTGGAATTTGGAGACGTAGTCTATTATTGATGATGAAAGTTTTATAAAGATGATCGGTCCTTTACAAGCCTGTTCGCTTACTGCAGTTGGGTCCACGTGGATGTAAGCGGATTGTCTCATGAACAAATGATGCCCCATTAAAATTACGACCGTGTCTTACAGATTATCTGTGCTGTTTCGGTTACGCAAACAGAATATCAAACTATATTCTTCTCTTGAGAGTCCTGGTATTTTCTTTTGTGTACGCCAATGGGTTATGATTGGGACAACTACGGAAATTTATGCGCGGCGTACAACGCCCTGCGCTTTCGCTCTGATATTTATTACTGTGTATCCCCTGGACCAATCGCCTCCACCCTCGCCCGCGTCAGATAGAAGACACCTAAGTTGAGTATCGAAATTCCGTTCGCACTGAGAACTCTTTGATTGGTTCCGGCTCTGAGGGCTGCATAATGCTCTAATTATGACGCTTTATACGAGGGTAAAGACGTCCAGAGACCTACGCTGATCACTCATCTCCCTAGAGTGGGCTACCATACCTACAAAACCTTACGAAACATGACAGGGACAGTAAACCATACGAGGTTGGTACGCCTGCCGTGAGACCGACACTAGAATCTGTTCTGGGTTTGGGCAGAGCGCTGGCAAATATCCTCCAGGGCATAAAACCTCTTGTTTCAGTGGAAAGCAACTTCATTGCGCTTACACGGGGTCTCAGAAGAGCTTTGAGCCTGAGCATCGCCCATCGGGTTTCTTTTGTATTTATTTACGCTCGTATCAACAGAGACAGGAATTCAGCTCGCAAAAAGAAAATTCACCGTGGTACAGAAAACGCGACACAATCTTGATTTTACTCTCGTTGCTTCAGGAAGCCGCCATGTTGTTATTGTTGGGTTTCGAAAGCTGTGCTAGTCGATTTTGCTGTTGTTACATGTGGCAGAACGTCCGTGTAAAATTTTATTAAAATCCTCGCAGATCTCATCTCGCACTGATGCAACGGACAAAGCGAAAGCTGGAAACTTCAGGTCGTATTAAATTAGGTTAGTGATGCGCAGATAATTACGAGCTAATCTCAGTCAATGGACCAGTGATTGGGATTAGCTCATTCTAACGGACCCCACAGAGCAGGTGGCCCCTTCACCACACCTGAAGACGGGGATAAGTCCAGTCCTCAAACCCTTGTCCATCGGACGATGGACAAGGGTACACACGTTCCAGGTTGTATTAAACCATCGTCGGAGACAAGTCCATAACACCTCATCCTATTTCTCTAAGATCCGTTTTAATAATATCCTCCGACGTAGTCTAGGTCTTCCTAGTGGTCTCCTTCCACCCGTCTTCTCTCCCATGCGGGCTACATGCCCGGCCCATCTAATTATTCTTTGACTTAATCAGTCAGCGCGTCGTACAACTTTCGAAGCTCCTCATCAGGCAACTTTATCCAGCCTCCTAGTGTTTCATCCCTCTTGGGCCCAAATATTCTCCTGAGCGCCCCGTTCTCAAACACCCTCTGTCTTGTGTCAGAGACCAAGTTTCACACCCATACAAGACTACAGGGAAAATTATAATTTCGTACATTTTAATGTTTACGTTTTTTATGCAGCAGACGGGAAGGCGAATTTAATCTGCTCATAATTCCGTTATGAATTAATTTTTGATTTGTTAGCGTCGGCCCCCAAATATCTGAATTTTCCGCAGTTTCAAAAAATTCCATTAGCTGTCTTTATGGTACGATTTTGCCCCTCATTCTGGTGACGCGACATCAACTGATACCTCGTTTTCTCTGTGTTTACTTCTAGACCAATCTCCTCAGTTTCGTGGTTAATTCCATTAATGTAGGCTCATTACGAGTTTCATAAAAAATATTAAAAAGTCTCTTGACCGACTCACCTTCCTCGGGCCGCCGTCCCACAGCCGACGGGCGGGAAACACATTTTGCCCGTGTCGGTACGTCGAACTTCGATTTCGCCGTGGTTTGGCTCTGCCTCGGATATCAACCGGTTTATTGAATTCGCCGTACAACAGCGCAGAAACCGCTGATGATTAAGACTTCGTTTGTTTCAGTTGAAGTGGCCATCACAAACCTGTGACTCTTTTGGAGATCCACAGTTCTTATCAACTGCAATCGATCCTTCCACATCCTTCACCAATTCACTTTTCGTTATTGCATTGTCGTTCGAGGGTAAATAATCCAACCTCCTAACTCACAGTCATTAAATAAACAAACAAACAAAAATTGTCTCGTATAATCTGACGATAAGTCATCCGCCGTCCGACAATCCCTTGTCTCAAAATAACTGACACTGTCACTCGACATCTGCAGGCCTCAGGCAAACGCAACATGGCTGCTCTGCTAATCCGCGAAGGAATGTTAGGTTATGTCACGATTTTTCAACAACGGGAGACGAAAATCCATTGTCACAAACAACTTACGTAATTCGCGGATGGTAACAGCAAATTTAGGTAAATTTTCAGATGAGATACAAATGAAATTTGAATGAACGGCGTACTAATGCTAACACTACAGTCTGTACAAAGAAATATTTATCTAATTCATAATTGCTTTTCTCCGAATACGTGAATCAAAGCTGAATTGAGACTGAAATCTGAAATAACTAAAACGCACTTTAGACATAATTATAATTCACTTCGAAGACACGAACAACAGCAGACACGAGCGCTCTCGAGCAAAGCAATCCTCCGAGTGACATTTAGACCGGAAATCGGTTTATATCGATAATCTAAACTACGTCACCGCGAGATACTAGATTTCCGCCCTCTGTAACATATTTCCCCACATCGATAAGCGCCATCTATTGACTTATCGATCGAGTTAAAAGCCTCAGCATCTACTTCCCACATTCTTCTCGTTTTATACGTGTCCATAATCGAAAAGTCTTCACTCCACAGTTTATCGCCTGCTTTTTAATCTCTTCGCCTTGTAGTAACTGGCTGAATCATCTTGTTCTTGGTCCTCCAATGCCTCTCTTTCCTTTAAATTGTAACTCTAATACCCTTTTCAATGTATAAGCAACAAGCGATGAAGGAGTTTTCAAAATCTATGTAGAATAACAATTTTTAATAATTGCTTTTATTTTAATCTAATATCGCTCTGTATATTAAACGACAGCCATCTTTATCCCAAATATATTAAAGGATATCTGTCCATTACCGTGACTGGTGGTTCTTGAAAATTTGGCAGAAGTTGAGCCGACACTCGTAATAATCAAGTCGTTTTCAGAAAGGTGCAAGGTGGTAACTGTTCGAGGCAGTTCCTCACTTTTCAGTGCAAACATGCCGACACGTTTCCGAAGAAGATAAAGCTAGTAGTCGCTGAGTTAGTCAAGGAATTCCCCGCCCTTTTTAGAACCCAAGTGTCCATTACATCGTTCACGAGAGCCTGCCAGCTCTAAACACCTTGATCCAATTCGAAAAGCTATTTATTTTAGATCCATTTTAATATTATAATTTAATTTGTCCCTCTTAGTTCTTCTGGGTGGATCGCTTCCTTCGGGCTTTCCGAAAATGTTATGCTACATGCCGCGCCGATCTCATCTTTCACTATTCGGCGAAGAGCACAATTTCTGAAGCTCCATATTAATCAGGTCTCTCCACCCCCTGTCACTCCGTCCCCCCTCAGTACGCGGTTCTAAAACGCCCTGACCTACGCTGTTTTATCTTATCATGAGAGACCAAGTAAGTACACATTTTTAGTAGCAAGCTCAAAGGAAGGCAATTCTTCAAGTTCGTCTGCTTTGAACTTCCTTGTGAATGAAATTTTAATCTTTTGCTGTAGTTTCAGTTTAAAAGTCTGATTCTGTAATGCAGTCTGGCGACGAGACGTACTTATTTTCCTCGTCAGATCTTTTCAGCATCAAATCGAGCTTCTTTGCATTTTATGAAGGACCTGTTTATGTCTTCGTCCAATAAATTACCATAAAAACACAGACCGCGAGCTGATGTGTCCCATCCAATTCAAATTCCGTTTTGTCGTCTTGGATACTCCTCGGAACAAATCCTGAGGATAACATTGAAAAGCAACGACGATAAAGCATCTCCTTGTTTCAGACTGTTCTGAATTGCGTATGCATCAGATAAATGTTTAGCCCAAAAGACGATTTTAATACAGGTTTCATTTGAACGTGTTTTAATTGGCATAATTAGCCTCGGTTCTGTTTTGAGTTGTCTCGCCATGTGATCTGGTAAAAGTTCACCGATCGTCTTGATGTTGGAGGCAGCAAGCACCTCTGAAACGTCGGTAAACGTCTAACAGACTGACTACATACACAGCACAGCAGCCGAGAAGACAGACATTCATATTAAGATAATGTACGAAGAGTCTTCTCGTGTTTTTTAAAGGAAAGCGCGAGATTTCAGAAGCCGGGTCTTATTGATCAACTCAAAACCCGTTATTCAATTTTTTAAAGTCGGAAGGAATATGTTCGCGTCGCTTCTGGTACCAAGGGAGGACGTCCATCGGCTAAACAGCACGGAAAATTGCCGTTTACCGACGCCAGCGCCAGAGCCCGAAAGGGGGGGCTGGGGAGAAATGACGGAGAATCATGAATTGAAAATCAGTTCAAAATGAGATCATTCTTCGTCGCTGACAGCAGCCGGGGCCTTTGATGTGCGCCGAGTTCAATAAGACTGTTTTGCGCACGCGCTGGTCAATCTGACGACTTACCCTACGCCTCTGTCGGGTCCTCTTTGAGAAGCTAGCAGTCGCTCAGCTAGTCAAGAGAAGTTTCTCCTTTTATAGAACCAAAATATTCATTGGCGTGTTCCCTGTCCCGAGCAAATGAGCGAGCGAGCGAGCATTTTCCACTTACCCCGTGCGTGTTTAACGTCCATTAACAATATTTTACTCCCATTTAAATTTTGAATGAAATCTTCCCCATCTCACCATCCATGCTGCATGCTCCGCCCATCTCAGTCACCCTGACGCCACCTGGTGAACCTCC